GCCTAAGTGCTGATGTCAACGTGTTTACGCAAAATTTGATTTAAGTAAACAAAAAACAAGCTGCAAGCTGCAGGAGGCACACCAGACCAACCTGATAAAGATCCAGAAGATCAGTTGCTATCAGATAAAGTTGATGGCATAATGGTATCATGCTACCTTATGGGTGGAGACACTTTTGTGTGGTCCTATGAAGCAGGGTAGTCTTACAAAACAGGACAAAACAAAACAACTCCCATGAGGACAACAGATATTGTGATAGTGGATAGTCCAGAGGATAGGGGTGATCTAGAATAAAAATCAAAACGGGGGCAAGGCAATTGGAAAAGAAGGAGGGCAGGGTCTCTTGCCCATTGGTCAATGTTGGATGCACTTGAAGAGGATGGTATTGATGGTTATTGTGAAACTTTTGTGCCCCCACTTTTTTCCTTTTCATTGAACAATTTAAGATAATACTATCTAAGGATAGAGAAATGCCTATGTGGAAAAAAAAACATTTTATTACACTATTGTGGTAGTATGATATTAATGTTACATGTATTTTGTATTCCTCACATTATAATTCGAATTCACACAAATAATACATGGTGCCACAGGACTTTGACTTGGTATTTCGCATTATTTGCCAGTTCATAATTCATTTTGCCTTATAAGCGATTTTTCTATGTAACGTTATTCGCAAGTACAAATTTTATTCTTTTGAATACTAGTACATGTACTCCCGTTCTGGTTTGGGTTGGGTCCGTCCATTATATCAACCCGGCCAGCGCAGGCGGGTGGTCCATGTTGACGTCACTGTACCAACACACGCCGCGCTATGGAAGGGTACTAATGGTGTATACACGTACGCGTGTTTCGTAATTTTCTGCAACAAAAATGCTAACATTTCGTCAACATTTATGACTTTTGATGTTTCCCTTTTTCTAATATATGTTTTGTATTCTTTTGAGGAAACTAAGACAATGATATTGTTGGCGTGTAGATAAACCGGTTTAACAGTAAACCCTACACGAGCCAAAAGGGTAGATCCGCCTATCGATATACATGTGAATGCGGCAGCCGCACTTCGGATTTGAATGGTGGGAAGCGGAGTGTCAGACGACGTTTTGGCCCCAGAAACTGGCGTTTTCCCGTCAAAATAAAAGCAAGTCTCTGGATATTCGAGCGTCCGAAGGGTTGATGGTAGATAGGCGGAGCTGCTTTTACCGTGGTTAGGACTCAGTTGGAAAATAGAAAGGAAAAATTCCGGTCCGGACAAGGAGCGAGGAGAGCTGTCAGGACGCGGGGGAGCGACTACTACACTACCGCTCCGATCTCTGTTGTGTGTTCGGGCCGGTGTTTGCTTGGGATTTGAACTCTCCGAGGAAGGCGTGCAATTCAGGTACGTCCTAAACATCATATCACAAGGATTCTATGCTTAACTTCATGTCTATTTAAACGCTGCAGTGTGGTTTTCCTCAGAAACCGATATTTAACATGTTCGGACTCGCTCTTACCGAATAATACGTGCATATTTTTACCGAGGTCTTTTCTTTGGCCATCTGCCACTGCAACCCCCATGCAGGGTTCAAAAATACCCGTTTTTTTACCCAAGCCAAATGTAGGTTGCTGGAAGACGTTATAGCCACCAAGGAATGTTTTTATAAATCTTGTGATGAAATTATAGAAGGCTCCGTCCGTCGTTGCCATTCTGGACTTGCTATTTTGGTACGACTGCCGCGCGCAGTATTTTGACTTTTGCCCTGCCGAAAAAAAAAAAAAAGAAAGAGAGAGATAGTCTTGCCTGCGAACCGTTATCTCACGGTGTTGAAAGCTCGATCACAAACCACCCAATTTTCCCCAATCGTCTGTTGATTGCGGGATTTCTGGTGTTGAAACCGCGGGTAAATCCTCCAAACAATTTCACGTTATCCAGACAC